CCATCCATCCATATATCCATCCATCTACCCATCCATGCATCCATCCATCTACCCATCCATGCATCCATCCATCCATGCATCCATCCATCCATCCATCCATCCATATATCCATCCATCTACCCATCCATGCATCCATCCATCTACCCATCCATGCATCCATCCATCCATCTATCCATCCATCTACCCATCCATCCATCCATCCATTCATCCATTCATCTATCCATTTATGCAGCCCTCTCGAGGAGATCTGTTCCAGAGCCAGGAACCAATTGCTGGGTGTTTGTTCACTTCAATAATGTTGAAATTTAAATCCCCACACAAAAATCAAAGTTTGACCTTCAGAGGCTATAAAAACACAACAACCATATATCTTCTTATGAAAGGCTATTTGAAAACTTGGTGAGTGTGATGTGACAACATTTAGGAGCTTTGGAACACAAAAACATCCTGTTTAAACTAACTTTTAAACTCTACAAGGGTCTTAAAAACACAAATCCTACAAGCTCCCGGTACTGCAGGTGCTCAGGCATGGGGCTACAAAGATGATTGTTGGCCTGGACACCAGTTTGGCTTTTTGTTTTTCTCATTTTGTTTTCTCTCATTTGTTTTTGTTATATTACAGGTGACTTGGAAGACAGAGCTATGATCAGAGAGCACGCCTCCTTACTCATAACAAACGCCACGAGATCGGACACAGCGAAGTACCGCTGCGAAGTCACAGCTGCTAACGACCAGAAGTCATTTGATGAGATTGTGATCAACCTTGTTGTAAGAGGTGCTCTGACTTACTTTCACACCCGTTCATCTAAGATGTAAATATAAATGTCTAAAGGCAGAGTAGAAGCGATTGGTTGCTCTTAAAAGGGAAACTTTGCCCAGCAAAGCCCACTATGGATGCTGAAAACTGATACCAGGTTGTGGATCGCTCTGGCCCTTTGGCATAAATGTGAAGATGTGTTCGGACCAGAACTGCTCAGCTGCAAAGGCGTGTTCCAGGCTATAAGAGGAAACGCCTGAAACTGCATCTGTTCTGAATCGCAGTGCTAAAGAAAGAAATGGCTGTGTATATTGGTGGCATTTTCTGGCAGGTCCAAAACTCCTGTTTTTACCTGGTCCTACCGCTGGTGGGTTCATAGAGATACTGTGAGGGGTTTTAGACTCCAGGCCCAGCAGCATCCTGCAGAAAGTGTGTGTTGCCTGAAGACTGACTGTACTGACTCTCATCACATGGTCTGTGTCACCACAGTAAAACCCGTGGTGCCAAAATGCCACGTTCCCAAGTCCGTGCCTTTTGGGAAGTCGGCTGAACTGAGCTGYGTGGAGGAGGAGGGCTTCCCGAAGTCTCAGTACCAGTGGTTTAAGGACAACGAGGAAATCCCAGATGACCCGAAGACCAGCTTGAAATTCTCCAACTCCTCATACACGCTGAATGCAGACACGGGAACTCTGGTCAGTATGCACCAGCATGTGTTTGGACAAGGACACACAAGAGTGGCTGGGGCGGGGCGGCGGGAACAGTGGCCCTATGCCCAGGGGTGGGGGCAGATATTTTGGGGAGATGGTTGGGGGGCCTGGGTTTGAGCCACAAAAGGAATCTGCAGCCCTCGTTTGCACATTCCTCAATCATTGCTTACTTCCCAACAMGACTAAGCGCTTTCCTGTCAGCATGAAACTATGACACAGCACAATGAGAAATGACTAAAACTAAGAATTTCTGTCTGACATTTTTATCTCTGAGAACACAGTTTGCTGTCACTGCTGACCACCAGCTGTGGGGGAGGAGATTATAAATGTTTAAAATTTTCTGAACGTTAAATACAACCCTTGAGTGGAAACGACTGTGATCACTTTACATTATCTGGACAGTTTAGAGTGTGGTATCTTACACGATGCACTGTTTATTAGGGGTCATGGACATGCCTTCATACGATCATGGTGGATCAGTGATAAGAATTCTTGCCTCACAACAGCAAGGTTGTAGGTTCATCTCCCAACCTTTCTGTGTAGAGTTCACATGTGAGCGTGGCACTCCAGTTTCCTCCTGCAGACCAAACCAAACATGCTAGGCTAACTGGTAACTGTAAACTGTCATTAGGTATGAGTGAGAGGGTGAATGGTGGTCTGAATGTGTCTCTCATGGACTAGAGACCTGTTCAAATACCCCACCTCTTGACACCAGCTCTTTGCCAAATAAAGTGGGTAAAGAAAAATAAGTGGATAATTAGTCTTGACATTTATCAGTGTAGGTTATCTCACAACACAGTTCAGTGTCTGTATAGAGCAGAAAATGGTCATTCAGACAAAACTGATGCAATCTGTTATAATATAAATACAGGATTTCTTCTCAGTCCAGAAATSATTTTGTCATCAAACATCAAGCTTTATTGACTTAAGAGAAGAAATGCAGAAGCTGCTGGATAACACAATACTGACCTGATCTCTTTCTATTTAACACAAACTGATATGAAAATAACATTTGTATTTACAATGAAAACGTGTTTGAACGCAGCTGGAGATAGATCCAGCTCAACAAGTGGAAGAGAAAAACTGAATAAAGAGGATGGATGGATGGATGGATGGATGGATGATGGATGGATGGATGCTATGATGGATGGATGGATGG